GGAAAGAATCACAGAAGGCTTCTGCGAGGAGGTGACCTGGCAGCAATGATGGAAAAAGCAATCTAGGCACAGGTGGTGCACATGCAAATGATACACAGAAGCATCAAACACCCTGTGTTATAGATTAAATGCTTGTCTCCGTCACCCCCACCAATTCGTATGTTTGTATGTTGTTCACATGTTGAATTAGCTGTGGGAGGTAACTGGGTTCAACGAGGTCATGAAGAGGGTGGGGCCCCCATGATGGGATTAGTGCCCTCCTAAGAAAAGAGAGACACATCAAAACACTTCTCTCTGCCATGTGAGGACACAGCAAACCAGGAAGGGGGCACTCACCAGAACCTGACCACGCTGGCACTCTGATGTTGGATTTCAGCCTCCAGAACTGTAGAAGTAAGTGTCTGCTATTTAAGGCCCCCAGTCCAAGGTATTTTGCTAGAGCCGCCTCAGCTAAGACATGCCCCGACATATTTACGGAGCTATAGGAAATTCAGGGGACATGGGTTGCTCTACTTCCGAAGATCAGAGTCCCCCAGCAGGGACCGGCACACATGTACTATCTGCTGATGGAGAAATCCCTGACACCTAACGGGGAAGACTGCAGCTATCACAGAGCCAGCCCGGAAGACCAGCTTGCTCCCAACCCTGCTTTCCCTCCCACACCACACTCCTGGTCAGGCCACATGTGAAAGACAAACCAGCTACTAGACTTACCACTTCCTGAGCCCTGAGTCCCAAAGCAACAGAAGGCAGAATTAAAAGCAATCAAAACCACAGCATCACATCCCATACTGGCCACTAGATGGAGCTATGCATCGCACCAAAAAGACAAAGCAGCTGAGGTTGATTTTCTCCCAGGTCTGTAGATAGCATCATTGGGTTTTATAGCTGATGGTGGCAAGTTATAGAAGCTCAAGGTCCTGGGAGGGTACGCATGGAGAACAGGTCATGCACAGATATTCATTAAATACCCACTTGTAGTCTCTGAGTTTAGAAAAATACTGAGCACTGCCTGCCTTCCAGGAGCTCCACCTTTGGTGGAGGATGTTTATTTTGTAGAATCAGTCAGATGGGCCTGAGGGAAAGGAACGCCATGGGGAAATAGCCATGTCGTGAGGCACCAAGCTTTACACATACAGGACACATAGTCTTTGGTAATGAATAGCAGGTAACCCAGAGCAGTGGGGACCGTGGGGCATGTGAGGTGGGCTGTGGCCGGGGCTAAGGAAGGGAGGGCGGCTGACGAAAAGACCATAAAGAGCTTCCCACATTCAGTTGAGATCTGTTCCTACAAGAAATGGGAAGTCATCAAAGGTTCTTGCAAAAGGAACATGATATAACTGAGTGCCTCCTCTGAAAGGGAAAAAAAAAAAAATCATCTTTCCAAACATATGGACGCTAAGCCGGTCCCTTTAATTTTATTCTATACCATATGGCACTTTGGATTTTTAGATCAGTAAATGGATTGACTTCACAGATCAAAACTTAGTAAGAAACATCTTCGTCTGTTATTTTAATTTCTCTTCCACGAAGTACAGCCAAAGCCCAATTTATCAATCTAATAAAAGGAAGTGGTGAGGTCAGGTGACAACCATAAAGTGTGTCACGCCTGGTGCGTACTAAGTGCGATAGAAGAGTTTAATAAATACACACTCATAAAGACAAAAGGCATTTGCTATTAGGTTCTTAGCGAAACTCAATGGAAACAGAGTAATTTCAGCCCCACCTTAGGGAGAATTGAATGATACACACAGGTGCATGTGCATACATATCCAGTGGAGACAATGAACTAGAGACAGCAAAAAACAGCTGCTAGACCAAGCTGGGGGGTACAGTGTGTCATTTTAAACCCCAAGGTCATGGGTTTTCAGAAACCAAGCTTAGTTCCACATCAGGCATTCTAAATAAACTTGGTGTAAACTTTTACAAAAACTTTAAGAGCCTCCACACGGATTTATACATTACTCACACATCAAGGCCGCTCCCACTAAGCCAAACAAACATCTGGATGAACACTTTAATCATCTCACTGTTTTCAAGTGTCTGGATGTTTGAGGTTGATAAGACATCTAGATCCTGTCTGAAACCCCGTGTCTTCATCAGATATTTGCCATTAACCAGATACAACCTCAAAGAGAACTATCTAATTGTAGAGGGGTAAAGACCATATTAATTGTAGTGCTGCAAGGCTTAGGGGCGTTAAATGTTGTACTAACGTCACAGAGCTTGCAAGGGGGCCGAGCAGGGTTCCAGCTCAGGCTCACGACTCAGTCTGTTTTCTTTCCACTACATCCACTGCTTCAGCAAGGACTTATTTAGCAGATTCCAAAGCACGGAAGAATAGCTCAGTCCTTCAACACCTACACATAGTCATGTGTATAAGGGGAAAAAAGAAAAGAGTACAAAGAACCTTAAACCTGCCTTGAACTCAGCATACGAAGGCAAACAGGTAACTTGGCCTCAAAACAGAAAACTCAACACGCGTTTCCATAGAGCGGAGTCTTACTTAACTCATGTTCCGGAGCATTAGATGCCATCTGGGCTTCCCTCTCCTCATTTTGAAGGTAAAGTTCTGCATTAAAAGAAATGGGGAAGGAAACCAGACCAGAGTTCTCCAGTGTCAATAATTGGGTGGTTTGCTTACATTTCCGCACTTTTATCTGCACTTGCTCTGAGCATATCTCACTTGCTAAAAATGTAAGCTTTCCCGAAGCAGGAACTGAAATGTAAACATTTGTGCTACTTAGCAGGGATAAAGGTTATGGTTGAAGAGCTAAAAATCTAGGACCATCTCACTGGGACAGCACTCAGGTTCAGTGGAGAGTGTTCCAATGACGCCACCTTGTGGAAACTGTAAACACTACCTCAAAATCAGACACTGACCGTCTACTGAGGATTAAAAGACTAGCTTGACAATAAAATTAACTATTAGAGGACACACGCACAAAAAATCTCAGAATCACTAAAAAATATTTTCGTAGCATATTCCAGTGGGAATTGGTAATGATAATCTTGAGGCCACACTGGACACCAAAAGTCTTCTAAATAATAATAAAAAGGTTAAATTACAGGCAATTTTAGTAATAGGTATATGTGATTGTTTTTCGTGCTTATGGAAAACTAGCAACATATGATTATGCTCTCGGTTAACCAGATTTTACTAGTCCATTAGTGTTCCCAGCCATTCTGGAAAGCAGAAATTTGTCCCACTGTAAGGGTTTGGTGGCTCCTGTCTTCCAAGATTTTGCTCACCAAGATGGTTCTAAAAGGGACGGGCAGAAAGCCAAAGCATGTCTATAGCTGAGGTTTTCATGAAATGAAAGAACATTTCTACTAAGACAAATAAAACTGAGCAAAAGTAAATTAATTTTGAAATAAACTCCAGTAGTTGTGCTATTTTAGTGTAGTGATAAAATGTTGGACAAGATGGTTTAATAACAGGCTCAGGTTCTGAAGCCACGAACCCTGGGCTCTGTCTCCTCATCACTTTGAGACCTTAGGCAAGTTCTTTAACCTTCCTACTCATTCATAAAAATGGGGATTATGATATCACCTACTTGCCGTGACACAGAACAAGGTAACGTATATGAAGCACAGTGCTCGGCACGTAGTGGGAACATCAGCTATCATTAAAATTATTTAAATACTGACTCACCCATGGGGGTCTTGATCACTCTGTTCATGGAAATGAGCAGGATGATTATTATGACTGGTTTTTTTTGTTTGTTTGTTTTAATGAGAAAGCGAGCAAGAGACAGAGAGAGAGAGACAGGGTGAGAACAGGGGAGGGGCAGAGAGAAAGAGAGGGAGACACAGAATTCGAAGCAGGCTCCAGGCTCCGAGCTGTCAGCACAGAGCCCGAGGCAGGACTCGAACCCACGGGGTGCAAGATCATGACCTGAGCCAAAGTCAGATGCTTAACCGACCGAGCCATCCAGGTGCCCCACGCCTGATTTCTATTAGCTGCAATTCTGACTGCTAATTTCGGGAGAGGAGGAAAAGATCTTGGAGAGTTTGTGCACAAGTTCTCAAATGAAGAAGTCTCAGGCAAGTGAAATAAACAGAGGCGCCTTCAGTTTTCACAGAGATCTGGGAGTGAAGTTAATATCAGGAAGCCTTGCCTCGTGCCATACGTGGCCACAGGGCAACTTAGACATCATCCCACTGCTCACTTTAAGTTCCCATGTGAACAAATGGAGAAACAGGGTGGCTGGGTTTTTTCCTTCATCTCTCAATCCACACATTCATGAAGTCAGCCATATTTATGATATAAGTTTCTGTATGTACCACGTATGGGGGATAAGGCGGCGAATAGGCCAGACGATGTCCCTCCTTCATGGTGCTTTATTGTGGCAAGCAGGAGGGGGCAGGGGGACAAGAAAATATAAACATGTCGTCAGGATAATTTCCAATAGGGACAAGCTTTTGGGGGAGCATAAGACGGCGATGGAGATGATCAGGGCACGGGGCAGGCCACATAACTACTTCAAGCTGAGTAGTCGAGGAGGGTTCCTCCAAAGAGCTGGCCGAGGATCACAGGAACCGAATCCAGGTGGAGAGCCCACAGCCCATGAGGCAGGAAGAAGCTTGATGAGAATGAGGAAGAGAAGGAAGCCAGGAAGCAGAGGAAGCAAGACGGATGGAGAAGGAGGACCTCTAAGAAGGCGACGGCCGAACTAAGGAGTCTGGATTCCATCTGAGGCGCGAGTCTTGGTTTAAAGGACCAACACGATCAGTCTGTTGCCAAGTGTCACTCCGGCCGCTGGTGGAACCTTGCTAGACCTCCCCTAGCAAGTTACTGGCTAAGTCTGGACTGGGGGCTCAGGTCTGGTGACTGTCAGCCCAGAAAGTTCCCCCTCACACCACACCACCTTTGACAGGGACAGCAGAGTGCAGTAGACAGTCTGATCTCAGAGAACTTACACAAAGCCCCACCAGAGAGAAACCAGCTGCCAAGCCTTCTCCCGCTCTGTGGAGAGAGAGAAGCCCCAGGGACTCACCCGCTTGTGATGTCATCAGTCCGGATGTTCTTGCTCAGAACGTCCCCGTCACTCATGTAGCCGGGGGCGTCCATGCTGATGCCTTCCAGGTCCATCTCGTCTCCTGCCTTGTCTGAGACGTCCACGTGGCAGACGCTGCTTCCCCTGGAGGCCAGCTGCCTCCTCAGAGGGGCAGAGTACACGTAGCGGCCCGACTCGGTGTTGATGAACCGGCTGGCGTTGGCTCGAGGCGGGTACCCGTTGCCCATGGAGGGGGCATCTCCCGCTTGGAGCCGGGGGCTGGACTGGCCGAGTCTCCAGGACAGAGGAGTGGGTCTGCCTGTCAGGCTGAGGATACTGCGCCCACTTATCTCCGTGGTGACGTTGGTGTCAAATGTGGTTTCCAATGTGCTGAAAACATAAAAGCGGCCTTGGCTTAGAACCTCATTAACTCAGGATCCTTTGTAGCTTTTTTTTTTTTAGAATTATGTAATTTTTTTTTTTAAAACTATGAAATACTTCCCGTACACGAAACAGCATCAAGCAATAGCCACCAATGCACTACCCCACTGTATTTCCTGTTAAAAATGAGAAGACGAAGCTGTACGTGAATAGAACACTCTGAGAAGCCCAGCAGAGACCTTCCCCCTAAAACATGGTACCAGATCCCCACTACCCATGACTTCAATGAAATGACCTTCACTACTGGACTCTTCTTTCCAACCCAAGAAAGGAAAAATGCCAAAATGACAGGGAGGGGGCATAACACATCCTCTGACCCACACATTCCAGGATGCTGTGTGACAGCTCCCCTTCGCCACTCCCGAGCTCCCAGTGTCACCTGTCACGTGCTCAGCTCCCTCTACACCAAGCAGGTGGGGAGAGCCCTGATTTTGTAACTCTAAGCTCTATTTCCCCCACACTTTTGCTTCTCCCACGTCTCGTCCAAAAGGACAACTAAATTTCAGGGGCAAGAGGCTGGGAGAGTGGTAATTACCCAGGTTTAAGGTCCATAATAAATGAAGTTACAAGGATCTGAATCTGCCAGGAGACTGAGTGCATCCCTGGCCATTAGAAAGACTCTTCCATCACTCTCTCCAGCCCTGCAGACATTGTGGCACAAGCAGGCTGGTTAATGTACCTCTGCAGAGCGCACTGGGGTCTCCCAACTGAGCTGAGAGAGCCTTCCCTGAAGAAAAGCCATCAAAGGTCTCCCCGCTGTCATCGTGACTGTCCTAGCCCAAACCAAGAAAGCCACCAAACTGCCACAACCCCCAGCAAGTCAGTTTCGGTGATTAAGGTGGAAAGAGGGATGTTTCATACTTGGTCACGGCGTCACAGGGTCTAGCAGCTGGCTCCATGCCATCAAATACGTAAAGGTTTGGCAAGGGGGCACCACACTACAACCCGTCAAGTTTACTGTCCTCGGGAAGAACCAGTTTGGTGCCTCAACTATTTCTGTTTCCCTTTCATCCTAGAAGCGGCCTTACTACCCTCATACTGGGGACCCCTAAGGTTCAGGCTCCTGTCTCATTTAAGATAGAACCCACAGCGCTCAGCCCCGTTCTGCCAAAGCTGCCGGGAGTTGGGGAAGCCCTGCTGTCCCTGTGCTATGTTCATTTATCAAAGAAACTGAAATTGGAGAAGCAAGGGAGACTCCCTGGGAGTTACCGGGGTAACTAGCACTTTGCCTTCATCATCAAGGCCAAAGGCAAACCGTCAACTTTGGTTCTGCCAAAATCCAGGAAGGGGGTCAGAGGGTTGCAACCTCTCCGACTTCACGCTCAACAATGAAAACAACCTGATGCATGTTTCCAATGTAATCCTAGATCTCATCCAACGCAATCACAGTTTAAACATGATCATAAGTTTTTATAAATATTTCCTTACATGTTTTATACGCGGGCATGACTAACAACATTACAGAGCATTGTGTATCAGAAGACTGGGTAGGAATTCAAGTTATTCACTTTATCACGCAGGTCAAATATAGTTCACCTGCTCATTTTAACAGCACAATACAGGCTTGGAAAATGCAAGTCAAGTGAAATTTAAATGGAACTGGTCCACAATATCCACTGACAAATGGATTTAGCGACCTTCTGCTTTGGGGAGGAACCAGTCTATACTGATTTTTGCCCCTGACATTTCTCTTCTGCACATTGGATGGCCTGCTCTGTGAATTCCAGCACATTTGGGGATCAAAATTATTCATTCCATTATTAACCAAGTCGCATTGCTGGTGGCATGAACAAACATAGGAGAAGCTGCATGAAAATCAAGTCGCCCGTGATGCAGTGAAGACATTCATTCACCTGTGTGTGACCTGAGTTCCCCGTAAACTAGACATGGTCTCCTCCAAGTTCTGCCGCAGGTCAGCGATGTTCTTCACTGTTCGCAGCCGTCGAGCTTCAGGGTCTTCCCCTGGAAAGATGAGGGGTAAGACTTTTAATCCTCTGATAGATCGTGAGCTCCACGGAACACGCCATGTTCAATGCTCAGGGCCTGGCTCACTGTGGGCGCTTAAGGATTTGAGAACAAATGGATGGATGGACACCCAAAGGAAGTCGCTAAATCCAAGGAGAGAAGTCTTTCTTTTCCCTCCAGGTCCCTTCTGAAACAGGTAAAGTCTACCTTGCAGGAGAAGCAAAGCACCTGGCCGGAAGGGCAAACACATTTACAAACTGTCTCCAATAAAGACAAACACAAGTTAGGTCTAAGCACCTCCCACCAATCATTTTCTGCCCGTGCAGAAGTGGGTGAAGCATTTTATTTTCTCACCCATTGGTGGTAACACTCTGCTTTCTACCAGCCCTATTTGGTAAACACAACTTGCAGTGCCTAAAAGATCTTCACTTATTAATCACAAATATTTCTACAGAGAGAGGTTTGCCTCTTTCTGTTGGATTTTTATGTCATCTCAAATTCCAGTCCTTCTAACTCACTGGCTGTGTGACCGTGGGGAAGGTGCTGACCTTCTCTATCGCTCAGATTCCACAGTCCTCAAAAGAGGACAGTAACAGTACCGACGTAGGACAGCTGTAAACGGGATAGGGCCTGGAGATTCCTGAGCACAGCATCCACCTCAGGCACTAAGTCATGCCAGCTGGTGCTGCAGAGCAGGAAGCCATCAAGAGGACCGAGGGTTTCTCTTCAGGGGATGAAACTTCCATTCTCTGGGCAAGATTTTCCACAGAACACCCGGCCAGTCAGAGGTCAAGCTGGCATAAGGGTACCAGCAGAAACGGGCCCTACACAAGCTAGGAAGCCACATGCCCTCCAGAGAAGCCTTGCTCTGGGTTCTCTGGCTCTTCTGCTTCGTGTGGGCTTACATGGGGCAGAGGAGATGGGGAATAATAACAAGAATGATGGAAGGAAGCAAACACCTGTCCCTCAGAGTAATTCCAGGGAAGGCTGAGAAGCCTGCCGAAGAACCACAATCGAGGCTCCTTAAAAGCCTGTGACTATCTCAAGCTTTGAGCGACATTTTTAAGGACATCTCCGCATAGAACTGGTACACATGGGCAGGCAGCAGTGAGTGGAATTGACATCAGGAACTACTACATAGAACTCCCAGCAGCTGTCATTAATAAGGGAACAGGCAGCTAACGGGGCACCTGGGTGGCTCAGTCAGTTGGGCGTCAGACTTCAGCTCAGGTCATGATCTCACAGTTCACGGGTTCGAGCCCTGCATCGGGCTCTGTGCTGACAGTTCAGAGCCTGGAGCCTACTTCACATTCTGTGTCTCCCTCTCTCTCTGTCCCTCCCTCGTTCACACTATGTCTCTGTCTCCTAACAATAAATAAACATTAAAAATAATTTAAATAAGGGAACAGGCAGCTAAGAAATGTTATGGAACTGACTTTCTTTCTGAGGCAGAAAGCTTCTATAGTTGTTCTTGACACGGTAGTGCCTGGAGATCGGGCGATGGACTGAATGACACATGTGTGATTTTATGGAGGAAATTTGCTCTAGCAAACTCTCCGGTCCTTGAAAATACCAAGTGTTTCCAATTTTCTCCTCCTTTTGAACCAAGAGAAAGTTGGAAGGCATTTTTCTCTTATCTGAACAGTGGTCCAGGCTTGCATTTCCCACCCAATTCTTTAAACATACATATATATGTGTGTTTTCAAACAAAAGCAGTGATGAAAGTTTACTTCCCTTCCTGCATGGCACTGGAAGAATGTAACTACATCTATCTCCTGGCCTATCCAGTATCTTTTGCTGTCACTTTGGCCATATTCTATCATAAGAAGGCCAAAAAGGTACTATCCGTGGGACAGCTCTAGGCCCTGCAGTAAACATTGATCAAAGCTAAACCTAGGGGCGCCTGGGTGGCTCAGTCGGTTAAGCATCCGACTCTTTATGTCAGCTCAGGTCATGATCTCACAGTCTGTGCGATCGAGCCCCTCATCAGGATTCGCTCTCTCTCTCTGTCCCTCTCCCATGCACATATGTGCACTCTCTCTCTCAAAAATAAACAAACTTAAAATAAATTAATGAAGAAAGCTAAATCTAGGCACAAACTTCCCAATTAGTTAACTTAATCCCCTATAAAAGCATCATAATTGTACCCATTCTCCCATGTCTCTCCTAATTGGCATGTTCACCTGTAAACTCTCCTTTAGAAATTCAAAAGACCTTTGAGATGGGAAGGTATCTCACCCTTACTCTTAGTAACTCTCACACAAATCCGCAGTTGCCCGAGAGATATTTATTGTCCAAAAATGTTTGGTCAGCGTAGGGCTGAAAGGAAAAGCACAGACTGCCTGCGTTTCGACAAAGGTTTGAACTCTGGCGATGCTATCTATTAGCCGCTTGACTTCGAGTGAGTCATTTGATCCTTTCTGAATGTCATCCGTCAAATGGGGATAAAAACCTTCCCTGAAAGGGGCAGTAGGAGGATCGCATGAGATGCTTATGATACGCCTGGCACAAAATGAGGGCTTGCTGAATTCGAGTTTCCTGTTTCCCTTGTTGGGGCATGCGGCTTTGTGCTGGGAAACGCCTGCAACCCCCCAGCCCCAGCCCAGAGCACGACACATACCAGATTCCAAGAGCAGCGCAGAAGCGCAAACTAGGACCCACCCATCTTGCTCAGGTGATCACATTCTCAATTGCCGTTTCTGTCTCCTCAGAGGCTGCACGATGTGAGCAAGGATGTGCACCAGCTCACAGCCTGAGCAGAATGAACACACAACTATGCTCCGGTGGAAATGGAGGCCCCTTCTGCTCGCGTACAGAGGTCTTAAGGTATTCCCTGTCCCTCTGCAGCTCTTCTGTATTCACAAGGTCAGCCCTCCCTTGGGCGACCGGCCACGATGGACAGAACACCACACTGTGACCCAACAGGGCTGACGTTGGAGGACGTCAGGGTGTTACAAGAGGAACGTGGAGGGAGCCCAGGATTTTCCCTTGGAGGGAGGAGGCTCAAGGGAGAAGCTGTTGTACGACAAAGAATGGAAATTAGCTGTGGGCTGTAAGAGGATGGCTTATATCCGGTGACTAGAAACGAAAGAATAAAGAATTTCTGTTACCAGTGAAGGCCAACAAAAAAATGGAAGGGCTGCCTTACAAAGGAATAATTTCCTGTCACGAACATTCAAGCAGAGACTGAAAGACAATTTGTCAGTGAAGGACAGAGGGGTTCGTGGACTGGATAATCAACAGGTGTGTGTGCTCCCTTCTGACTCTATGATCCAAGTTACAAGGTCTCGACTGTAATGTCATACAAATGACAAAGCATCATGGGAAAACCCACCTAGTTCGCCACCTGAAGAGGGGCAGAGCTAAGCAATCGGTCAGTGTCATAAATGTCCATTTCTAAATATACCCGCTACTCATGGTCACTTCAAGGGATCAGCTGTGGATAGGTGAATTCGACCTTATACTACTATCCGTTGTGTCCATAAAATGATTCACAGCCTAGTCACACACGTGATGTCTACTGCTTGAACGTAAAGACAAGTCACTCTAAGAAATTCCGCTTAGCAATTAAAAAAAAAAAAAGGAAGGAGGGAAGGAAGGAAGAAAAAAGGGAGGGAAGTGTGATGTGGAATGTTCTCTGGCCGCTGCTTCTGCTTTTCAAATGTGACTTTTGCAGAGCCTCAGAGTCTGACATGAATCCACACGACTCCACGGGACACACATCTGATATATGCCGGGCTCTCGGAGCACTAGCCTGCCTCTTTTGATGTGTGCCCGTAAGAATACAGTCTGGAATGTGTGTGGAGACCTGAGTAGTCACTGAACGCCACACCCTTCTCGTAGCGGGCCCTTTTGCTGGGCTAGCCATGTCCTCATATGCAAGGAGGTACAAAGCTTGGAGGGAAGGAAGCACAAGATCAATCCCAAATGTGGGGTCCTGAACCACTGCAAGATGGATCACTTCTAAATGGCTTGAAAGCTCTGCCTCATCACTGTGCCCGGCCAGCAGAACCAGAAGGAAATAGTTAAATAGCTCAGATCCTCTGAAATTAATACTCAGAGCTAATGGTGAGATGGGTATGATCCCCTCACGTGGGCTGCAGACCAACTCCACAGCTGTGATGTGGCTATTAAAACGGTGTGGTCGTGGATATTTAGCCTAATAAATGGACTTGAAACATGGATTTGATTTTTAAGCCAACCCTGGAAGTGGTGAGATATGCAAAGAATAACACAACCACTGCTAAATGTGTGGTTTACCACTCACTTCCCTGATTAGAAGTTGCTGGAACATAGGACACAGAAGTGGGGAACGGGGCAGACAGACAGAGGTGGTGATAAACCCCGAATGCAGCGCAGTAGGAATCCTGACTCATACGCTAACTTTTCTCCTTTGAGGATGTGACAGGTTTATAACCTTAATAAATCAATACCCGTGGAATTAACTACATGGCAACTGTGGATTTTATGTTTTCATGTAACATAATAGCCCTTTAATCATCATCGTCTAGGTTAAACTTAAATAAAATTTAGATATGTTTATTTTTTTGGTAAAAAAAAACATTTTTTTTTTTTTTACCAAATGTTTATTTTTGGTAAAAGAAGCATGCTGTGTTCTCCTTTCCGATTAATACAGGATGACAAGAATACATTTTCAATCCGTGCTTCCATACAGAAAAGAAAAAAAAAAAAAAAAAAAAAAAAAAGGCAAGATATGATAGTTCCAGATCTTGTTCGAAAGTGACTTTATCTGAAGAGTGAACAAGGAGATTCAAAGTTAAGTGTCAGAGCAGCCCAGGGCCGCTACTGAAATGGAACATTAAAACAGGATTTGCCAGTAAGCAAGAGATTTACTTATAATTCTGGGGACAAGGGAGTAGACTGTGCGAGAGAGGGCAGGGAAGAAAGAGAAGACGGAGGAAAACAAAAAATAACACTAGTAACTTTGTTTAGGTTATCCGTCAGTGCAACAGTAAGGCGACTCCAATCAGGCCGGGTGGTTATATGGGAGGTCTCATCGGCAGCAGACACAGACTTTCTGGGGCTCCATACTCACCAGTGAGCTCCTCCAGAGCAGGCTGTCCACTCTTAGTGTAGTGGGTGGGTTCCATGCTCACGCCCGCGGAGCTGGATTCAGCAGTAACATTCCCTTCGGTGTCTGTCTGGGACCTTCACACACAAACCAAAGCAGACACACTCGTCACGAGCAGTAGCTACCACATCTGGACCACTGTGGTCTGACCACAGCACACGCCATCACCCCCTTCAACGAGACGCTTTAGAACAGAGCAGACCAGCAGACTGACTCTAAATAATTCATCAGCACATGTGGAGCAATGTCCTAGAAACGGAGAGAGCCAGTGAACTGTAAAAGATGAAATATTCGTTGCCCAAACGGAGGGTCTGCAATCCCTCACTGGGGAATGCTTCTCCGAATCCCTATCAGGGAGCTAGGTCTGGCCAGAAAAAGGCTGGAGAGTACTGAGTGGTTTGGATCACTTAACCTCCGCCAAAGAGCAACTTCTAAGTACTCAGCAATACCAGAAAGTCAAGCATAAAGATGACTCCACTGACAGCCCCGTGGCCCTCCCCAAATCCTCCTGTCATGGCTCTCTCTGGAAAGGTGACTACAAAACCGGTCAGGAGTGGGTGCCAAGCAGGTGTGTTGGCCCTCTACGTCTCGGATTCAGAGCTCAGATCTTCAGAGATGAAAGGTCTCATCGATCATTATTTCAACACTTTGAAATCTGTACTTCCCCAAACCTTCTCTGTGCCTTTATTTGTCCAGTAAATCAAGGCCACTGCTTCATGCAATGCGTTCTTGCCACAACTACCTCGGCTGACCTAGGCATGGCGTGCAAATGTGTAATTACACTCAGATGCATAACCCTGGGTGTAGCATTATTAATTCATTAGCGTCCTGAACTCATTCACCCAGACTTCACTCTCCATGAAAAAAGTGTTTGCCAGGAACGTGGACTGTCTTAAACGTGGGGGACGTACTGAGAAACCTCAAGTCACCCATCCTTCCCCACCCTCGCCCTCCTAATGAAGCCGTCAATTCCAAATTCCTGCAGTCCCCACCCCTTGAGGATTCTTGGATTCGTGTTGCTCCTTTTGACCCACTGGCCGGAGTCCAGGCTTTCATCATCTCTGACCTATAAGCACTTTGTAAACACTGCTTCCAGCCTGGAGGTTGCAAACGGCAGCCAGGTGTCGGAACCAGCCCGTAGATTCTTATTGGTCTGTGTAGTATTTTGAAGCTTTCTGAATTCATTTCAACGTTTTAAAATTGGGAGATTTCACAAGAAATATCTGGATTTCTGCCTTGTCCGTTTCTCCACTTGCAGTGAAAACAAGAAAGTCTACATGGACTTTCTTGCAGGGCGCCACCTGCTGGTGCCAAGTGATGGCTGCTCCCTCTAGACAGTCTAGACACTCTGCCGCGGTCCCATTACCCCCGGCCACTCATTTCCATTACCTTTTGGGTCGGAATCAGGCATCTGAGTCTGTGGCCTCTATTCTAGACTGTCTGTAGGTCCAGTCTACTCCCCACACCATCCTCCACTGGTTTTTGTGATACCGATACGATCACATCACCCTCTGATCAAAGGCCTCCGATGGTTTCCATGGCCCATAGAGTAAGGTCTAACGTCCTAACTGTGGTAGACAACGCCCCACATGGGTATTCATTTCCAGCCCTGTCTTGTGCCACCCTGCCCTGTACACACAGCCCTGCCGTGTCTTCTCTTCCACCTGTGTCTTCATTCCTTAGAGCACACCATACCCTTAAGGGTTTTGCCTTTGTAGTTAGTGTGACCTGTGCCTAAAGGCTCTTTTCCTCTTCATTCCTCTCTTGCTCCTAATCAGCCTTTAAAAAATTTTTTTTTTCAATGTTTATTTTTGGGACAGAGAGAGACAGAGCATGAACGGGGGAGGGGCAGAGAGAGAGGGAGACACAGAATCGGAAACAGGCTCCAGGCTCTGAGCCATCAGCCCAGAGCCCGACGCGGGGCTCGAACTCACGGACCGCGAGATCGTGACCTGGCTGAAGTCGGACGCTCAACCGACTGCGCCACCCAGGCGCCCCGCTCCTAATCAGCCTTTAACACACAGTTCCTGTGTCATCTTGGCCGGGAAACCTTCCCTGACTCTGCTGGCTAAGCGCTCCACCTGTGCGTTTCTACAGCATTCTTATTCTCCTGATGCCGATGTATTACAATGCGAGCTAATTAATAAATCTTGCCTCAACTAGAGAGCTCTCTGAAAGCAAAGACTGGCTCTTTTGACATGGACGTGTAAGAACTCAAGCTGTTCAAGTTCACATGTAGAGCAGGCCCTTAAGCAGGGTGTACTGAATGTATAAACGAGAAATGTTTAAGTCTAGAAAGAGGCTGGGCCCTAGAAGGATCATTAGACTTGGAGTCTGAACATTTCGTTGGCTGCAGGTAGCCACGCACATGTGAGAAGTCACTTCACACCTCTGACCCTCAGGTCCCCCATGTGTACAGCAGGGCTAGCAACAGTGACCTCTCCTGGCTGCCACAAAAATCACGTGACAGGACTCAAGAAGCATTCAGTCAAGTGTAAAGTGATACATGTCCGTGTCACTTCTCAATATAATTCATTCAGTGTGATTCAAAAAGATGACTTATCTTTCTTTTATGCCTTGGTAACATCGCCAATGTTGACAGGTTCTGGGGAGGGGAAGACGGCAAGTTCTCTACAGTAAGTAACCCACGAACTCGAGAGAATTTTAGAGCACAAGGGGAGTCTAACCCATTTAAAAAGATCTTCTCATCTCATCTCATCTCCTTGCTCTATAGATGAAGACAATGAGGTTCAGAGAGCTGCACTGACTCAGAGAGCCAAGACTGTTTGGCGCTTAAGAACTTGGCCCCTCTAGTTAGACAGACTTGGGTTTAGACACCAGCTCTTCTAGCTATTAGCTCTGGACTTGGTGTGAGTTATTTAATCGCTCAGAGCCTCAGTTTGCTCACCTACAGAACGGGGATCTCAAAAGTAGCGAGCTTGTGAAGTCTCGGGGATGATTCTATGGGCAAAGGCATGAAAAGCCTTAGCAGGGTCTCTGCACATATGTAGCATGTGCTCCATAGCTGTTCCCACAGGGAAGGGTCCCAGACCACCCAGGGATTTGTAAGCTAATAAAAGACAGAGCCCAGGCATCCTGACTCCCATCCCGGCTCACCTGAGAAGGAAAAGCACATCAGAGCGGCCAGAGGGACATCACACAGGGTGAACATGGACATTCAAGTACAGCTTGACAGATACGCATGACATTTTCTCATTTCTCGTATTTGTCAGACATTTGCTCTTTCGTTAAGGGTTTTCCTCTCACGGAGAAGCGTGAAATTTTAAAAGAGGTTAAATGTTTTACAATCTTTCAAATGATTCCAGAAAAAAAGAAAAAGGGAGTGAAATGGATGGTGTCCAAACACCATCATATATTTTAATTTCGAAAATGCAAATCAAGACTCTGGGAGCAGTAGCTTGAATATGTATTACCTCAGGACTATTAATGTTACTGGAATGATAAAAATTTCATGGGGAGCAATTCAGCTGCCTCCATGGTTCAGAGAACAACTGTATTAAAAGCCCTGCATGGAGACGAATGCTGAGTCATTATCTAAAAGCCCTGGCACTCTTCTCCAATGGTTAGCTGAGCTAATGACTGGATGTAATAAAAAGATGACCTTCTCCCAATTAAAAAGTGCGGGTGTGACCCCTGCTGAGGGGGAGGGTAAGCAGAAGAGAAAGAAGGAGGGATGGGACAAAGAGAAGCCTGGCCTTGCCTCACTGGCTGGACCTGCCTGGCTTTACTCTGAATCACTCAGGCCAGTCTTCCCACTCACTGTTGGCAGGCATGGTAACAAAGCCTACGAGAACACAACTCAGGCAGGGAGAGAGGGGATATCCATTTCTTCGGGGGAACCACACAAACACAGGAAGCTGAGAGTATGGGCATGAGTCTGCATGTGAACAGGTGTGAAAATATATGTGTGCATATGCACACTAGCATTTTATATACGTATGTGAACTTGTGTCCATACTTGGACATGGCTGTCAATGTACGTCCATGCCTACGGGCGTCCGTGTGTGTGTGTGTGTGCAGTGTATATGTACACATACTTAGGGCAGAAGCTGTAAAGTAAGTGCCTAGATAATGGCATTCACTCATCAGGCCCCTTTTGCTATGCAGAGGTATTAGTAACATTCTGCTGTGCAGAATGGCCAAATGTACTCCATGTCTCAAGTACAGGATTAAGCTGGGCACTGTGAGCAAAGCTCTGGGAGTCCCTTAAAGCACAGCTGCCATCTGTTGGAGAGGACTTGTCCACGTGGCCAAGGACCACCCAGAGCCCGTGTCCTCCATCCTGCAAATGTGCGTGGTGCAGGCTGGGCAATGAGAGGCTCTCACAGGCCACAAGCACACAGAGCAAGTGGCACCTGGCTCCACGTGGTCTCCCGCAGTCCTATGGATGTGCCAGTAGAGAGAGAGAGTGTGGGGGACAGATAATGGACAGAATGGAGTCAGACAAGCAAGCATCCAGGCTTGTCTCCTCAATATAACCTGATTCTTTTGTTCTTCTAGAACTGATCTCTCCCTGGGGCTCCTGGGTGGCTTAGTCAGTGAAGCATCCAACTCTTGATATAAACTCAGGTCACAATCTCACGGTTTGTGAGTTCAAGCCTTGCATCAGGCTGCCCAATGCACTGTCAGTGCAAAGCCTGCTTGGGATTCTCTCTCTCTCTCTCTCTCTCTCTCTGCCCCTCCTTCCCCCAAAATAAACTTAAAAAAACAAACTGATCCCTTCCTATCACTACCTTGCCCTTTCATGCTGCTCTCTTGAAGAAAGATTCCAGCAAGGACTGAAAAAATACTTAACACGTGCCATGTGTAAGCAGCTGTGAGGATCTGGAAGCTCAAGACGAACGCCTCTGTGAGAAGAGGTCTCACCCATTCAGCAAGGTGACATCTGTGTTTCTCATTTTTTAAGGTACGTTCAGAAAACGTTAGGACCGATGTCGGGGCCAGTCACACTGAGTGATACCAAACCACACTTACCGCGTCTGCTCCTGCTGTGGCTGCTTCTGAAACGCCCCTGGGTCCCCACGTGCCTGGCCAACTCCTCCTCATCCTGGGGTCAGCTCGAATTTTGCTTCCTCTCTTTAGCTTTCTCTCCCCCTCCCCCAAGCCGTGTTGTACTAGTTGCTCCCTCAAGCACACGTGTAAGGCTCTACTGGGAGCTTATCGAGGCGTACGTTAGCTGTCAGCTTTCATGTTCCTGGAGGGCAGGCCGGGTTCCTGCCCTCAAAGACCTGGGACCTACCAGAAAGGCTCCTCTGCCCACGGCCCAGCAAGAGCGGACGGGCGGCTGCACCTACCTGTACAGGAAAGGCGCGACGGTGGCAGTGTTGGGATGGTTGTATTGCTGCTGGGGCTGAGGTAGCTGAACACTGACGGTATTGCTTCCTGTGGTCTGGGTGGTCCCGACGGACCCGCTGACGGTCTGGCTGCTGATGCTGTGGTTCAGGGTGGTCCCTCCAGGGCCTCTTCCTTCTGAGGACGCCAGGCTGGAGGAGGAACTGGAGTGTCTGCCGTCCAGCTGGGGCTTCTGCTGGGGGAGCCCCGAGCTCGGCTTCCCACCCCGGCTCCGCTCCCCCTCCTTGGAAGGGGCAGGGGCACTTGGGGACTTCCCGGGCATGCTCTTCATTCCTGGTTTTGGTATTCCACTGTGGGAAGGGGCTGTGGCCTCCTTCTTGGCACTGTTGAGCTTCCCCCCCTTGGGGATGAAGCTGGCGATCTTGGAGGACTTTTTTGGCATCTCAGTCACTGCCGCCCCGCTGGGGTCTTCTTTCGGCCCCTCTTTGAGGTCCGGCCTGTCTGTCACAGAGGCTCTCTTGGCGAGGTCCTTGCTTTTCTCCTTTTCCTTCTCCCGCTGTTGTTTCTCCTTTTCCTTCTCGTTGCCTTTCGGGGAACTCTTCTTGGTGGTCAGCGCCCGGCTAAAAGTTCTCTGGGCGATGCCCTTGAGGGCGATCTTGGGGCTGTTGGAAGCGGGACCCGCTGTGGACAGCGAGCGACTGGTGGCTTCCGTCTCTTCGCTCTCTTCAAAGCTGGGTAGAATCTCGAGCCGCTCACAGCTCGTGTCCCGCGACCCCGGGCCCTCGCCTGCCTTGGAACCCCCTTTGCTGTTGAAAAGCTTTAGTTTTTCCAGCATGGACCTCTGACTGTTGGGGGCTGGCTTCATGGCTTCAGGGCTGGGCCTGGGGGCCTCGGGCACGGGCTGCTTGACCGAGAGCATGGACGGCGTGGCACTGTGCTTCACGCTGACTGACTTGCTGCGCCAGGGCTTGGAGGCAGCACCGGGCTGGGGGATGGCCGAGGAGGTGCCGCTGTTAGCAGGGGAGGGGCTGCTGCCACTTTCCAGAGGAACAGGTGCATTTTCACTCATTCCGGGGTGGGAGGAGGCTGGGCTCGCCAACGGCTCTGCAGAGATGGGGAAGAGAAGGAAACCCGAATTACACCTGTGGACCTGCGTTGACGGCCAGGGAGGGTGGATCATGGTTCCACAGCTCATCACTCTCAACCCAAACGCTCAGATAGCTCCACCACCCTCCTGTGCCTTACCTGTGGTTAAGTTGTTCTTTGTTTTTTTAATCTTTATTTATTTTGAGACAGAGACAGAGTCTGAGCAGGGGAGGAGCTGAGGGGAGGGAGACACAGAATCCGAAGCAGGCTCCAGGCCCTGAGCTGTCAGCACAAAGCCCGGCGTGGGGCTCGAACTCACGAATCGTGAGATCGTGACCTGAGCCGAAGTCAGACGCTTAACTGACTGAGCCACCCAGGCGCCCCACCGGTGGTTAAGTTTTTAAATCCCACCTTGACTTCCTCCTGCTCTCCATCACACACAGTTCGCATTTCCCGTCCTATCCTGGTATCTGCTGTGCAAATGCACACTGATCTTAATATCAACATGTGCAAAGCACAATTAAGCATGCGTTTCTGGTAAAAAACCAAAAACCTACACCACGAAAGATGTAGGAAACACATACTGTTTTTGAATTATTCAACCCACAACCCAATTTCCCGGTTAATGCGAAATAATTGAAAATTAGCCGCCTTTAAGAAAATGTAGGAGAGACATTAAAATGAAACAAAAAAGAAAGAGAAACCAAGCATAATCTTTACAGAAGAATAATTACCCAAGGAAGTTGCTAAGTCCTATCAAAGCATAGATGCTTTTTCCTATGTTGACATTTTGAAAGCGGCACCAGCATGATTCAGGCAAGACTTAAAAAAGATTTTTTAGCTTAAGAGTATAAACTGCACATCGATTTACTGTAGGCATGAAAACACACAGGTTATCTGAAAGTCAAGGTCTCCCCTTTGGCGCTTAGGGTGTATTTCCCCAGCCAGACTCTCTTCTCAGAAACACCTCAAGATATTTGCAAAGTGGAATCAGAATGATTCTAAGAAGGACGGGTTCCAAGCTGGAGTTCTGCTGGCCGAGGCGGCCCGTACCACGGAAAAGAGATCAGGGATGCCCTCCTCCATGAGCACTCAGAACCAAGCAGCTCTATCGCCCAACACAGGGGCAGCTGTCAGACAGAAAGTGGCCGGGAAGGCATGTCACGGCTGAGCCCGGCGCCGTGCCACCCACACCCCACACAGCCCGGTGCACGGAACGGAGAGGATGCGGCCCTTCAGCCCCCGAAGAGCACGTCCGTGTCTGCAAAGTCACCACAACACGACTTACCTAGCGGCAGCCACTTTCTCCCACAACGGTTCCCTAGGAAAAATTCTCTGACCGGAGAGGCTGCCCTTCCAATTGTCACAAGTGTTTTCAGTTAAACTGCTCATGTTTCTAATTAACTTTTGTCATCCGCAACTGCTCCAGTGCCCAGAAGCCTGGCGGGATTAACGGCTGCTTCTTCTGCCCGTTTTTTTTTTTTTTTTTTTAATACCTATGTTCCGCTGCCTTCTAGCAACAGAGTAAACTGTGTATAGAGCGGCTTTTTATGATTTAAAAGTCAACGGCCGCCAAAGCCGAGTGCAGGCAGCCCCTGTGTGGGACATGAGCACCGAGCCGGGAGAACTCCCGACAGAGGAACGGCTTTCCTCCACTCACTCCCAGCTGCTCCGGGAAGCCACAGCTCCAGGGTGATCCAAAGCAGACCTCCCAATGTTTTAAAACACATACATCTTCCTGACTTACTGGGGATTTGGGTTTGGAGCGGGGGGTGCTGCACAATCCTCCCTAACAAAACTCACGAGGCGTTGTTGGATCTTTTCCTGGGGAGAGCTGGAGACCGGCTTGCAAACAGGCTCGGGAACCCACCCACACTGCCGGCCTTTCAGAGGGTCTCCAGCAGCCTGACGCTGCTTATGGAGGGTCTCCTGGTATCAGGAGGTACGGAGCTAGGCACATTGTGAAGAGGGGCTCACTATCCCCCTTTTATGAGTGAGGAAACCGCGGCTCATGGGAGCGCTAGTAACGGACCCTAAACCACAGAGCTAGGCATGGACATAGCTGCGACTTGAACCCAGGTCTCCTGATACAGTGCTCTTGGGACTGTATCACAGCTACCTCCTTTGGTGAAGGATATATTTAAACAAGAGGCACTTAAATGGTAGGAGTGCTTTTTAGGCATCAACTTTTCTGTTGCTAAGGTATGTTCATGCCATCCTTTTTGGGGCACAGCCCAGCCCAGCCTCTGGAAAGGAGGCAGCCTATAGTGCAGAGGCTGGCTCTCTGCAGTAAATACTGGTGACCTCCAATCCCGAGTTCCACTTCTCATAAGGCAACTGTCTTTCCCTTAACCTGGGTTCAGATCTGACGCAAAAGTATTCATTTGTTCACTCAATATATTCATTCATGTCAATATTCACTCATTCAATGTGTATGTCAGACGCTGTTCTAGGCACCTGGGATACATCAATGCAAAACAAAATCCCTGCCTTCTTAGAATTTACGGTCCAGCAGGGGAACGGATAACTAACATGGCTGATAAATTTTATCATTTTTTTAGAAAATAAGAGCTAAAGAAAAGGGGGTCTTTGGGGGCAGGTTGTAACAATGTCCTCACAAGAACGGCATCATATTCAGAGGTGTGCCCCTCTTTCCTAAAGAAGTCTTAGGCACATTCCACTGAGTGTAAGTGCACGGATCAGTAGGACTTCTCTGCTCCCACACGTGCCTTAGAACCTCAAGAAAGCTTGCTTGCAATGGTTTGACAAATGCTCCTACCTAGCAGGTCTGTGTATTTCTAACACTAACAAACACAGGTAGAAATCAACCAACAACTAACTAGCCAAGGACTAACCCAGAGTGAAACAGACACCTGGCTCATCTAAGTGAAATGTGCAGACTAAGCTAAAGATGTTGTCTCCTTCAGATCCAAGGTGCCAGGCCAGGGGCGGGGGAAAGAGGGAGGCTGGGGAAGGGCTCGCACGATGTAGGGAGGACGCATACCACGCTGGGCCAAAACAGCTCGCTCCCAGAAACTTCCACGTGCCTTTTAAACCCCTGCTCAAATGCCTTCTGTGTCACGCTGAGACCTTCAAGCTGACTGACCCACTTGGTTGGCGTCACATGGCATTTTCCGAGGACTTTGGTCATACCTGCCCATAAAAGGATTTTAGAGGGCCACCTACATATTCTAGCCACTGGGAATACAGAGGAATGCAAAATAAGGTCTACCCACTAGGAACTCACTGTCCAAAGAGGCAACAGGCCTCAAGCAGAGCAGAGAACAATGTAAAGGACTACAGAGGGCTGTGTAGGGTACCATGATACCTAAGGGTTGGGATCCATTAACTCTCCCATTTGGGAAACCTTCACAGAGCCAATGACCTCTGACTTGTCACACCATGTTTCTGCTCTAGGTTGGCTGGCTAGCCCACTGGTCCACACTCCCTGACTCATCTTTGTGTCCGACAGCCTGCCAGAGCATAGGAAACCCTTGGTATGTGGCTATCAGATTGGAGGTTGGTTTTGACTTTTGCAATTCATAGTTAAGGCAAGGGAGCCACAGCCTTCTGATGAGTCATGAGTCAAAAAGTTTTTAGCCTAAACTCCGGCAAAACCAAAAAACACTATCAGGACTCGGAGCTCCAGAATTTCCACTTAGCATTTGGCGTGGGCTCCTCTGGTTATGGAATCATGGGGACATTTCAAGGCTATTCGCTGCAGCTGTTAACTGTAGAGATGATCTGAATTTGGTTTCTAGAACAGGAGTTTCCTGAGTAGGGCTGCAGGGCACCAGATCACCTGAGGATAAGATGATCTATACTTTGCACTTATGTCATGGCTAGAAATCCCCCTAACAGTGAAGCGGGCTCCAGGTCACGAGTGGTTTTGCCATGTTCCCATCATTCTGAAGGTTTCACACCAGTGCCCTTGGCTGTTTAGGGCCTGTTCTTCTTTCTTTGGAAAACAGCCATTCCTAATGCCGGGATTTTATGATTCCCAGCATGAGACTGTCCTTACCATGCTTCTGAGACAGTGAAGTAAATATGAGAGAGATATGGGTAGGTGAGTGAAGCTTTAAGCTTTGTTACCAACCAACAGTGTGACCCACGATGTGCCATTTTGCCCCTCTGGGCCTCAGTTGCCCCATTTGTAAGAAGGATGAGCTATTTCTCTAGAGTCTTTTCCACTCTGCTTCCATTCAAATCTCAGTGAGTCTCCGAGAGGCCCAGTGAGGCTGAGGCCAGAGAATGCAGCCCTCAGTTCTAACATTACTCTGTGCTGTGGCATACAGGTGTTTACCTTCCAACATTCTCCCTCCACAGCTCTCTTAGGATGTTTACTAGTAGACATCAGTGAAAACTGGCTGGGTCAAGGGACAGTCAGCCTTGAATGAGGGACTTGTGAATTCAGAAATTCTGGTATCCTATGAAAACAAGCCTGGGGAAGGGAAGGTGGGGAGAGGTCTATAAAATTAAGAGCACTTCGCTCCCTAATGAGGAACAGCTCTAGTTTCGGCTCTCATGTATACACACCTCTGTTAGAGTAAAGGAATCTAATAGGGAGGAAAGAGAAAAACATAAAAGAACATTCTGAACATCAGTATTTCTCTGGCAATTAATGGTATGCGGGCCACTGTAGTAGGTGAGCCTATTTTCAATGGCACATGGATGAGTATTTTTATATTTTAAAAGTCATATATTTATTTTATTGCAATAGAACAGATAACTAGCCCATATATAAATGAACAGTTTCATGATTATTAGACATACATTTAAAACTGGAGCCAATTTAAGGAAAACAAGAAACAAAAACACACAGATTTGGTTCACAGATTTGGCAAAACTCACACAGGTCTGTGGAAGACTGACGCTGGGGAGACACTTCTCCATTAAATCAAGAAATGCTTATTTTATATATAAAATCTGTAATAAATATTTTATAAATACTTACTGTGTTAAGTCCACGCTTTTGGAAAACGTAATCAACAAAACAGAAATCAAACCAGAAGGCCCAA